TGTGAGGATTTTTGTTTTCTTTATGTTGAGATGTAATCCATACTGCAGACTGTATTCTTCAACCTTCATCAGTAGGTGCCTTAAGTCATCCTTACTTTCAGCAAGCAAAAACTGCATCTTTAGTGTGAAGAAATTCTCATCTTTTAGTGTGAAGAAATATATAACAACATTAAAATAGATATACAAAGGCAAGAAATAAATATTTCTTGAGAATATTTACAGTAAAACATTACAGTAGCTATGATACTGCCTCGGCAACCCAAGGAGGGGTCGCTATGAGTCAGGCCGACTCGATGGCACGTAACAACAACAACAACACGATAATGGAATTACAGATTTTTGTTTTCTTTCTATTTTTCTGATTTTCCAAAAGTTCTACAATGAGCATGTAAGTCTTTTATAACCAGAAAAATAGTTATTTTAAAACCCATTGCTTTTTCAATTAGGACTGAAAAGAACTTTTTGATTTTAGAGCAATAGCCTTTAAATTTACTAAAAAGTAATAGTAGTGTTTTCCTGGTTTGGTAGGAGCTGGTGCCATGACTTTCAGCAGATGGGATTTCTAGCAAAGTGTAATTCTAAAATCACATTGGAACATTTTATTATAGATAAAAAGAGGAACTGCTATATCTCAGGGGTAGGCAGAATATGTCTGAACTGTTTTAAGCTCAGTGAAGGATTTAATAGTTATACCCTTCACCCCACTCCCAGTAATGAAAGGGTATCACTCACAGCACTTATCCCACTGGGTGATTTTACACATGTATCTCTATTCATACTATAATTGCTTTCGTTTGTCTTCACTAACAGAGATAGAGTTAACAGAGTTAGCAAGGCTCATGTATTTATTCTGCTTTGATGCTTCAGATCTAGTACAATGCCTGGTATGTAGTGACTTCTCAATAAATATTTGCTGAATGAGTGAACATATCTGTCTGATTTTATAAAAAAAAATATTTATTGTGATTTGGGTGAAAGTTTACAGAGCAAATTCACTTTCCATACAGCAGCTCTCATGCACATTGTCTCATGACATTAACTTCAATTTCCCACAATGTGAAAGCTCCCCTCCCACTTCCTCTCCATAGTTACCTCTTCCCTGTGTCCCTCCCTTCCATGCACTACTACCCCCTGAGCTGTTTCCCAGTGCATACACAGCCCTTCTATTCTCCCAAGATTGGTCTCTCCAAGGAGTGTATCTACCTAGTGTAAAAGTTCAGCTCATATGCCTGTCTTTTGTTTGGCTGGAAGCCACAGGAGTGGATTCAGTTCCAGACCTGAAGGGCAGCTAGGGGCCATAGTCTCAGTGGTTCTGTCAGGCTCTATCAGACCAGCAAACCTGGTCCCCCTCCTTTTTTTTTTCCCCAAATGATTTTGAGTTTTGTTCCACATTGTTCTCCCACTCTATCTAGGATCTCCTACATAGATCCCTCTCTGAGTGGTTCACAGTGGTAGCCAGGCACCATGTAGTTCTTCTGGTCTCATAGTCACATAGGCTAAGGATCACATGTTGTACCAGTCACTTGGACTAATTGTTTCCATGTGTCTTTGGTTTTCTTCATTCTTCTTTGCTCTGGACAAGGAGAGACCCATCATTGCATCTAGA